TATATATATATATATATATATATATATTATATATATTATATTAGGGCTGTCCAAAATAGCGCGTTATTAACGCGTTAACGCAAATCAATATTAACGCCGTCATTTTTTTTATCGCGCGATAAAAAAAAAAAAAAAATATATATATAAATATATATATTTTTTTTTTATTATTATTATTATTATTTATTTTATTTTTTTTTTTTATTTTAATTAATTAATTTATTTTTCCTCCTTCTCCCCCTAAATCAGTCTAAATCTATGTGATGCATTAAAAAAATGAGCCTGGGCATGGTAACCTGCCCTCCTGCGGGGCCCCCGGAAGACATTCCGCTTGTAAACCGGAAACAAAACAATAGGTACGCCCCCCCACGCAAATGTTTGGTCTGGTCTTGCCTGCTCGCTAGCGGTAAAAGTCAAGCGCGAAACGCCAAAATGGAGGTAAACAAGCTCCTAAATGGAAAGTTTAGTTTCAAAATGTTGCCAGATGGGTCGACTGACAAGACTAAAGTTATTTGTGTGTATTGCCGGTGCGAACTTAGTTATCACCGTAGCACATCCTCTTTGAAATACCACTTGATGGCCAAGCACACCGCTGATGGGAAATCTGCGCCGCCTTCCTCTCCAAACCAGGTCACAATCGATGGCTTTCGACAGAGGCATATGGATGCCGCAACTAAAAACAAACTTATTGCAGCCATAGCCAAATGGATAGCTACTGCATGTAGGCCCGTCAACATTGTGGAGGACGAGGGTCTAACTGAGATCATACGCATCGCATCCAACGACTGGACATATGAAGCCCCTTCGCGTGCTACCATTACAAGACGCATCGAGAATTTGTACGAAACTGAGACGTCTAAGGTACAGCATGCGTTGGAGCAGACAAATGAGGTCGCGCTGACTGGAGATTACTGGACATCCCTCAGTAATGATAACTACCTCGGAGTCACAGCCCATTATTTCGATCCACAGTGGGAACTTCATTCGCATGCTTTGACTGTTATGAAGACAGAAGAGAGGCACTTCAGCGACGCTGTTGCAGAGCATTTCATGAAAGTAGCCAGAGAGTGGAATATCGAACACAAAGTTGTCTCACTGACCACGGATAGTGCACGCAACATGATTGCTGCGGCCAGACAGCTCCCTTTTGAACACATGCCGTGCATCGCACACAGTGACTGTGTCCAAAACGGTAGGCATCGGGCCGCGTAGGGTGGATATGTAGGCATCGAGGGAAGGCCGCGTAGCCACAGGCGAGGTAGGAGGCGAGACGTGATGTGGATTTGGACAGCAGCTGCCTTCTGCCTTCGTCACGTGACTACACAACTCAGAGCGGAGCGGAAGAACACGGCGGCCATGATGGACGGTAAAAAGTTCTAAATACGCTTTAATTAGGACATAAAAGTTAATTCTAATATCATTTTAGGCGAGAAATATCCCCCTCTATTGTCATATCAGAAGTCTGTTTGGAGATAAATTCTAAAATTTTCGGACTTTACCTCCAGCCTGAAGCTCCGGTGCTATAAGCTAACAGCCCAGTTAGCTGCAGTGCTGAAGCCCAGAACAGGCTGTCTAAACACGGGTTCACGTAATGAGAGCCCCCTGGATGTTTACAATCGTATTCTGAAAAAACAGAGGATGCTTTTGTTGTTACACTTTCTCTGTTATAACAATTGTATTGGCAGTAATCATTAGTTTTTACAAAGTTATATTTTATGTAAACAATGCACATATATGCAATAAATGATTATTAGATATGGATTATATATTTGCTATGGCCCTCGTTTGTGCATCAATTAAAAGTAATTTTATCAGACCTAAATGTATTAACGTGTGTTTGCTGATGAGAGAGAAACATCCATTTATCTATAATAATAACTGACACATCCATGGATCTATAATAATAACTGGAACATCAATTTATCTATAATAATAATAACTGGAACATCCATTTATCTATAATAATAACTGACACATCCATGGATCTATAATAATAACTGACACATCCATGGATCTATAATAATAACTGACACATGGAAACATTAACAGACATCTGTAAAATGAAGTTGAACACAGATGTTTGACACTGCTCTTATTCACTTTTATATCTCTTGAAAAGCTAACAGACCTTTACTAATCACATTTGAGTTTAATGTATTCAAGTATAAGTATAAGTACTGCTGACAAATATGTAGTTGTGTAAATAATACCTCACTTTGATGACTCTTTACATTTCACACAAACAACAAAATCATAATAAAACCAACAAGTTTGATTTGTTTTCTTTATTTCCAGGTTCTCTGTGAAGTGCTGTCGATGAGACCTGTGTCAGAGGCAGACGCCCAGGACTCTGCTGCTGCTCCTGCTGCTGCTGCTGCTGCTGCTCCTGCTGCTGCTGTTGCTCCTGCTGCTGCTGCTGCTGCTGCTCCTGCTGCTGCTGTTGCTCCTGCTGCTGCTGTTGCTCCTGCTGCTGCTGCTGCTCCTGCTGCTGCTGTTACTCCTGTTGCTGCTGTTACTCCTGTTGCTGCTGTTGCTCCTGCTGCTGCTGTTGCTCCTGCTGCTGCTGTTGCTCCTGCTGCTGTTGCTCCTGCTGCTGCTGTTGCTCCTGCTGCTGCTGCTGCTCCTGCTGCTGCTGTTACTCCTGTTGCTCCTGCTGCTGCTGTTACTCCTGTTGCTCCTTCTGCTGCTGTTACTCCTTCTGCTGCTGTTACTCCTGTTGCTCCTTCTGCTGCAGCTGTTACTCCTCCTGTTGCTCCCTCTGCTGCTGCTATTACTCCTGTTGCTCCTGCTGCTGCTGTTACTCCTGTTGCTCCTTCTGCTGCTGTTACTCCTTCTGCTGCTGTTACTCCTGTTGCTCCTTCTGCTGCAGCTGTTACTCCTCCTGTTGCTCCCTCTGCTGCAGCTGTTACTCCTCCTGTTGCTCCTTCTGCTGCAGCTGTTACTCCTCCTGTTGCTCCTTCTGCTGCAGCTGTTACTCCTCCTGTTGCTCCTTCTGCTGCTGCTGTTACTCCTCCTGTTGCTCCTTCTGCTGCAGCTGTTACTCCTCCTGTTGCTCCTTCTGCTGCAGCTGTTACTCCTCCTGTTGCTCCTTCTGCTGCAGCTGTTACTCCTCCTGTTGCTCCTTCTGCTGCAGCTGTTACTCCTCCTGTTGCTCCTTCTGCTGCAGCTGTTACTCCTCCTGTTGCTCCTTCTGCTGCAGCTGTTACTCCTCCTGTTGCTCCTTCTGCTGCAGCTGTTACTCCTCCTGTTGCTCCTTCTGCTGCAGCTGTTACTCCTCCTGTTGCTCCTTCTGCTGCAGCTGTTACTCCTCCTGTTGCTCCTTCTGCTGCAGCTGTTACTCCTCCTGTTGCTCCTTCTGCTGCTGCTGTTACTCCTCCTGTTGCTCCTTCTGCTGCTGCTGTTACTCCTCCTGTTGCTCCTTCTGCTGCAGCTGTTACTCCTCCTGTTGCTCCTTCTGCTGCAGCTGTTACTCCTCCTGTTGCTCCTTCTGCTGCTGCTGTTACTCCTCCTGTTGCTCCTTCTGCTGCAGCTGTTACTCCTCCTGTTGCTCCTTCTGCTGCAGCTGTTACTCCTCCTGTTACTCCTCCTGTTGCTCCTTCTGCTGCTGCTCCTTCTGCTACATGTCTTGATGCAGAGCCCACTGTTCTAACTATTCATGATTGCTGATTAAAGGAAAATATTATATACAAGTTTGTTGTAGTTCATAATGTGGTGATGAGGTGATGGAGGTGATGGAGGTGATGGAGGTGAAGCAGGAGGTGATGGAGGTGAAGCTGGAGAAATTATGACCTTAATTTCACCACAAGTCTCTGAAAAAGAAGAACACAAACATCATGCATTAAAACACAGCCCACATTTAGGATTCTTTTTACACTTCATATTCAATTAATACTATTTATTTGGGGCTTTGCAAAAAACTGGTTAAAAATAAAATACAGAAATCCTTACAGTATTTAATATTAGAGATACAAGCTTCACAGCAGGGGAAACAGAAGAATGATATGATAGAAATATACACAAATAATCAAGTTATGAGCATGGCTAACCACTTTAAACCTGTGTTTGTGGAAGTGGGACTTTGTCCTCTGCAAATGTCTTATTCATGACAAACGAAACCTCTGTATAATGTGTGTTTACTATTTATTAGACTATTGTATGAAAAGGGCTTTATAATTATTCTTGGCCTATTCTATAATTTCATATGTCTAATATATACAGTTTTCCCAGTCTCAGTATGGGATTAAAAACGATATGCACAATCTATTTTATATGAATACAGAAAACATGAGTTAGCATACTATAGCTGCTGTGCTGCAGAGTGATTTTCCATGAAAACGTGACTATTTCCTCAGTGTAGCTTTAATAATTAATCAGTGGGTTTGTTTCTCCCTAAAAGATAAAACACAACATGATTTTTCTTGTTCAAAAACCGAATCTGAATGAACTAGCCTCGTAGCATTAGCTTTTCGGGACTGAGCTTATTTACAGCAGATAACAAGGTTAAATACACACTTCTGTGGCAGATCTAACTTATGTCTGTTTTTTATCATAACAGTCGTGTTCATAACTCATCAGTAAAGTATAGCAGTGCTTACTATAGACATAACTTCACAGTAAAGTATAGCAGTGCTTACCATAATGTTAGCTCCAGCAGGTCCGAGTTGTTTACATGTTAATGCCGAACGGAGTTCTGCGCATGCGCGGCCGTGACTCGGCAAAAAGAAGGCAACGAAGCATACATCAGATGCATCCTTCATATCTGCTCCAAAAGTGGCCGTTTCCATAGAGACGAAGTCATGATGCCTACGCTTGGCGAGCTCGCCAAGTGGTTTTGGACACCCCCATTTGACAACGCATTGGCAAAATGCAGAAAAGTTGTTGGGCACTTCAAGCATAGCCCAGCAAATGCCGTGGAGCTCGAGCAGCAACAAACCGCACACCATCAGAAGACCGAGTCACTCACACAGGACGTGTCAACAAGATGGAATAGTACCCTAGAAATGATCAAGCGTGTCCAGCGGAATGCTGAACCCCTGAGAGATGCACTGGCACTACACAAAACCAACGTCACCATGCCAACAGCAACTGAACTGGAGAAAATGAAGAAGCTTGAGGCTGCGTTGGAGCAGTGCAGGTAATTTCTTGTTTATTTGTTTCTTTAATAATCGAGTGAGTGATATGTGAGTGAAACACTAAAGAGCTTCTTAATATTATTGCAGGTATATATCTGAACTTCTGGGTGGAGAGAAGTATGTTTCTTGCTCAGTGGTGCTGCCAGCATTGTGTCATCTGTCCCGAGTGATGGAGGTCACTGAGGACGACCCATCCTACATGATCAAGTTCAAGGGAACCTTCACAGCAGACCTGGAAGCTCGCAAGGAGAAGACCAATGTTACATGGCTGAGATTTGCAACAGCACGTGACCCAAGGTCAGATTGCCATACTACATACTCCTCATTCTCAGTATTGTGTTTCTCTCTAGTCTGTTAGTTTTGGGTTGCTTCTTTTTACTTCCTTTTTTACTTTTTGATTTTAAATTTGGCATAATAGAAATAGGGGTACTGTCACAGTTTTGTTATACCTGTACTTGCATAATGATAAAGTTTAATTTAATATAATTTAATTTCAAGGTTTAAGGACCTCAAGTGTCTGAGCAAACCTGACAGGGTTCAGGTGTGGGATTACAGTGTTACTGCTAGTTCAAAGTAAAGTTTAAGCCATGGTTTAACTGCACTATAGGCTGAGTCCTTGTTTACATTGATTTGCACTTTGCAACTTTATTTTGTATCACCCTTTGTTGAAGGGGCTTTTTGTTACCAATTATTTATTTTGTCATCCGTTTATTGATGATTTTGCATCACATGTTATTGTGTAATAGAACGCTACACATTGTTTTCAATAAAAAAAGCAATTGCACGCCTATTCACTTTTTAGTAGTATTAAAATGATAATTCAAAGGACATAAAGAATAGATACAAATGTGTGACTAATTTGCGATTAATCGCGAGTTAACTATGAAATTCATGCGATTAATCGCGATTAAATATTTTAATCGTTGGACAGCACTAATTTATATATATATATATATATATATCTATTAATATTAATATATATATATAATATATATATATATATATATATATATATATATATATATTTATATATATAAATATTTATATATATATATATATATATTATATATATATATATATATATAAATATATATATATATATATATATATATATATATATATATATATAAATATATATATATATATATATATATATATATATATATATATATATATATATATATATATATATATATATATATATATATATATATATATATATATATATATAATATATATATATATATATATATATATATATATATATATATATATATATTAACCACTCTCTAGCTTCGGGGTCACTGCCCCGAGTGCACCGATCACCACGGGCACTACTGTCACCTTTACCCTCCAGGCCCTCTCCAGCTCCTCTCTGAGACCTTGGTATTTCTCAAGCTTTTCATGTTCTTTTTTCCGGATGTTACCATCGCTTGGAATTGCCACGTCCACCACCACGGCTGTCCTCTGCCCTTTGTCTACCACCACTATGTCAGGTTGGTTCGCCATTACCATTCGGTCGGTCTGTATCTGGAAGTCCCACAGGATCTTTGCACGCTCATTCTCCACCACCTTTGGAGGAGTTTCCCACTTAGACCTTGGGGTTTCCAGCCCATACTCTGCACAGATGTTTCTGTACACTATGCCAGCCACTTGGTTATGGCGTTCCATGTAGGCCTTCCCTGCCAGCATCTTGCACCCTGCAGTTATGTGTTGGATCGTCTCAGGTGCTTCTTTGCACAACCGACACCTTGGGTCTTGTCTGGTGTGGTATATCTGGGCCTCTATCGCTCTGGTGCTCAGTGCCTGTTCCTGTGCAGCCATGATGAGTGCCTCTGTGCTGTCCTGTAGGCCAGCCCTTTCTAGCCATTGGTAGGACTTCTTGAGATCAGCCACTTCTGTTATGCTCCGGTGGTACAATGCCGTGTAGGGGCTTGTTCTCCCATGATGGGCTCTCCTCCAGCACCTCCTCATCTCGCCACTGCCTGAGACATTCACTGAGTACGTCATCCGTTTTGGCCTTCTCCATGATGTAGTTATGGAGTTTGGATGTTTCGTCCTGGACAGTGGCTCTCACACTCACTAGTCCTCGGCCTCCTTCTTTACGGCTTACGTACAGTCTCAGGGTGCTGGATTTGGGTGGAACCCGCCATGCATGGTAAGGAGCTTTCGAGTTTTAACATCCGTGGTCTGAATCTCTTCCTTTGGCCACCTGATTATTCCTGCAGGGTATCTGATCACTGGCAGGGCGTAGCTGTTAATTGCCCGGGCTTTGTTCTTGCCATTGAGCCGGCTTCTTAGGACCTGCCTTACTCGCTGGAGGTATTTGGCAGTTGCCGCTTTCCTCGTCACCTGTTCGAGGTTGCCATTTGCCTGTGGTATACCGAGATACTTGTAACTGTCCTCAACGTCTGCTATTGTTCCCTCTGGGAGTGAGATCCCTTCTGTGTGGACTACCTTGCCTCTCCGAGTCACCATCCTGCTACATTTCTCGAGCCCGAATGACATCCCGATGTCATGGCTGTAGATCCTGGTTGTTTGGATCAGAGAGTCGATGTCTCTCTCGCTCTTGGCGTACAGCTTGATGTCATCCATGTAGAGGAGGTGACTGATCTTTGCTCCGTTCCTGAGACGGCTTCCATTTGCCTCAAGGGTGGTCTTCCACATTCCCATTGAGTTTGCAACGAAGTCCCTTAGAGCCCTGTTGATATTGTACAACTTCAAGCATTCCATGATCCATGTGTGTGGCATTGAGTCGTAGGCTTTCTGGTAATCAATCCAGGCTGTGCACAGGTTGGTGTGTCGGGACCGGCAGTCTTGGGCGACTGTTCTGTCAACCAGGAGCTGGTGTTTGGCTCCTCTGGTGTCCCTACCAATGCCCTTCTGTGCTGTGCTCATGAATTGTTCCATATGCCCACTTATCTTAGCCGCAATGATGCCTGACATGAGCTTCCATGTTGTGGAGAGACAGGTTATTGGCCGGTAGTTGGAGGGGACTGCACCCTTGGACCTCAGGACCATTCGCCCTTCGGTTAGCCATTCTGGGTGACTCCCATCTCTCAGCAGCTGGTTCATTTGTGCTGCTAGGCGCTCATGGTGTGAGTGTGAGTGGTGTGAGTGTCCTTAGCCAGTAGGCATGGACCATATCAGGGCCAGGTGCTGTCCAGTTTTTCATACCTGAGACTCTTTCTCGGATGTCTGCCTCTGTGATGGTAACTGAGTTCTGTTCTGGGAGGTGGCTGTGCTCCTCTCTCAGGGACACCAGCCATTGTGCACTTCTGTTATGTGCTGCATCCTTCTCCCATATGTTCCTCCAGAACTGTTCAGTTTCCAGCCTCGGTGGATCTGCTCCCCTGTTGTTACCCTGCCACCTTCGCAGGTTGTGTTGCGAACAGCCTGTTCACCCTTCTGCTTCATTCTCTTTAGTGTACCTCTGTAGGCGGCTGGCCAGGGCTTGGAGCCTTTGCCTTGATCTTAGCCTCCAACCGTCTTTTCCATGGTGGGTATTGTCCCTTGCTCCCATGGTTGCTCTTATAGCCAAGCATCTCTAGGATCACTGCTGCTGAAGTGTATATCAGCTCATTGGTTTCAGTGATTGTGGTGGTAGGTATTGCCCTCACTGCTGCATTCACGCTTTCTATGAGATCCTTAGGTGGTACTTCACACAACCGCTGTAACCGGTGTCTTTGCCCTGTGCCCATTCTAGCCATGATCTTAGCTTTCAGGTCAGTCGCTGCCTCGTTCAGCGTTATCGGTTCCATTGGGGCTATGTACCCAATATCTGGTTGGGGAGTTGCAGTTGGTGGGATCTCCCCTCTGACCTCGGCAACTGTGGCATCATACATGTGTTGTACCTCATCAATCTCAAGCTGTGATAGCAGTTGCCGTTTGTGGATGTTGGAGCATTGAGCTACCAGTTGTTTCGGGGTCAACTGTGACTGTGGGTTTTGAAGTAACCATTCAGCCCACATTCTCTGCATGTAACCTCTTTGGCCACTTTCGCCTTGTTCCAGTAGCCCACTTTTCATCAAGGTGCTCTGGTTCCCCAGCACCTGACGCAGACCTTGTTTGGCCGGGCGACGGCTGATCCGGCATCTCATTGCTTATTTGTACCTTCATGGTTATGAGTTAGGCAGTAGCATTAAGGGTCTTGCCCAAGGACCCTCACTGGATGTTGGTGTTAATGTGCTCCCGGTGGGGATTCGAACCCTGGCCTCCCAGGTCCCAGTCCTGTGCCCTACCAACTGAGCTATCCAGCTGATGTCTTACAAACATATTATATATATATATATATATATATAATAAATAAATAAATGCCCTGTTAACAAAATCTATTTTTCTGTTTTTTTTCTTGTAAGGGGATCCACCCTGAACCTGCCAGCAAAGTCATAGTGCGAAAGCCCAAAACTGTGGGGAAACGATGTCTGCAGTCTACACTCTACAGAGCTGTCCCAGGTATAATTTATTGAGTGTCAATGTTTTCATAATCTGTCTGTAAATTATATATACATATATTATTTAATAAATATATATAATATATATAAATAAATAAATCTGGAATGTTTCCTTTGTCATAAGTTATTGAGATTTGTCACTCATGTGTTTGTAGGACCACTTCCTGACCCCGACATCATCGCATCGGGAGACAAATTACGCCAGCTGGAGTCCCCGCCACTCATAGCTCTTGTTTTAGAAGCTCTCTCAACTTTGGAGCTGGTTCCGTCTAAATTTGGGCCTGTGCCTCGAGGCTCACCAATGTCTTACCAGTGCCCACCTGAGAAGTCCTGCGACGTCATCATTATACACCACACAGCTCCAGACTTCCCTGCTCTTCCTTTGATGTTTCACAGTCTTACAAACATGTGTTTTGTGCCTACTCTTGGTCAACTTAGGCATCTTCAGTCTCTGCAACTGTCACTGGATACGTCTTCAAAAATAGAGGCTGCAACCAGGGAGCAGTCCAGATGTCCTGCATGGGTACAGCTTCGCCAGCCAAGGCTTACAGCTAGCCGTTTCCGGGATGCTTGTAAAGGAAGTGCTGAGGAGGAGTCTGTAGCAACAGTACATGCAGCTAGGATGATCAGGGGGTTCACAAAACAAACAGCTGCAATGAAGCGCGGTCTGTAGATGGAGCTCGAGGTGCTGACGAACTATGCTGAGCTGATGAGTGTTAATGTACTCCCTGTGGGATTTATCATTCACCCCGAGGCACCACATCTTGGGGCAAGTCCTGATGGCAGGGTGTATGACCCATCAGAATCACCCCCGTTTGGACTGGTAGAGGTTAAATGTAGTACCAAAAATGATGTGTCCCAGGTGGCTCACCTTAAGGTTCAGGATGGCTCTGCAAATGTGAGGCGCTCACATGCGTACTGTAAGTACAGGGTCAGCTGGCAATCACAGGGCTGGAATGGTGCGACTTTGTCACAGACACACTGACAACTATAACAGTTGAGCGAGTGTGGCGGGATGAATCTTTCATTGACCAGATGAAGTCAAAATTGGACATGTTTTACTTTACCACCTTTATGAATGTGTTTATGTCAATGCAATACAGTAACTAATGATTCACAAATCCCCTTTTTTGTTCATTCCCTTTTTTTTGATCATTGTAAATATCTGTCACAAAAATTGAATATATGCATAGCAAAACAAAACATGAAATTGCCCTAGTCTTAATGACCTGTGCCTGCAGCTGAAAGGAAGTTGATGAGGTATAAGTTTTCCAAAACTAGACTAATGTGCTTATTTTATTTCCTGTATGATTTATGAAAAAATATTTCCAGCCTTGTTTTGTTACAAATGAAATGATTTGAGAATTACATATTTCATTTTCAACATAAACCACTATCATTTGCTATTTGTTTCACCTGTTTTCCCTTGCAATTCAACACAATCAAGCCACAATAACAAAACAAAAAATACTGAATTCTGCCCAAGTGTGTTTTAAAATGGGGAATAAACATCTCAAAAAATATGTACACTGAAACAAACACATAGATTTAGATGAAACATTTATTCTTCCAAACAAAATGGGCCTTGATAATTAGCCAAAACACAACAGTTGTGCCAGATCTGATTGACGGTTCCTATTAAAGTGAGTAGCACAGGAGAATCTCAGATGCGGTAGTGCTTGATTCTGGCTATTGCCTGTTCGACAATAATTCTCAGACGAGCAATGGCTTGGGTCTCCTCAGTCTCTCTCTTGCTAAACTGACCAGGATGTCGAAAAGGTGGCATTGTGAGTTTGGCCCCAACTTCATCAAGGAGGTCTTGAATGAGGAAGCCCTTATCTGCCATGACTTCATCTCCTGGCTCCAGCAGCGGAAGAATTCCACTGATTTTAGTGATCTCTTTGTCGGAGATGCAGCCAGTGTACAGCTGTGAAATAAACGTCACCAACCCATTGGGAGCAACTTCGATCAGCCCTTTCAGAGTGGTGCGGTTCTTGTACGCAGAGAAGGTTTCAGACTGTAAAGTTAGTGATGATGCCCCCTCTAAAGCAACTTCTGTGCAGTCCAGGATGACACGCACATTTGGAGAGCGCTTCACAAATCTTTGAGGCATGCTGGCTTTCACCTTCTCCCGACTAATCCACATGTTAATTGACGAGAACACAATGAAAAGGTAGTTGGCCCATGTGATGGTCACTCGGCTGACAGTAGAAATGCTCACTTTAAACATGTCAGCAATGAGCTGCTCCTTCATTCCCACTGCAACCCTGAATGAGTACATTAAAAACTCATCAATTAGAGGCATGCGGCGTGCAGGGCTTGGTTCAGCAACTTCTTTATCTCCAATTTTCTGAGCTCTGGTCCAGTACACTAGACGGGATGCAGATGGTGCAATGGACTCCCAGAAGATCCTGAACACACTCTTAGATGGGAATTTTGTGTAAAACCAGATCTGGTCATCAGAAAAGCAATAACTACTAAAAAGTGTGCTGGGAGACAAATCCATCTTCTCCAGCCTGGCTTCCAACTCCTTGATCGTCTCAAGGGCTTTATCAAGCGCACCTGTAAAACCAGAAAAAAGTGCTATAAATACCTTAAAAAGGTCTAACCATAATGTAATATATAATTATATATACAATTACACAGACAGTCCTAAATATTGTATTTTATTTACACTGCTTTAATTTTGTTCCACAAACATGTGATGACACTGAGCATTTATTGTTTCATAGTTATAATATCGACTCATATGCTAGAATAAAATTTTTACATAACTGATATAATTAGATATTTACCTGGGGGTGGATGTGCCGCATAATCATGTTCGGCAGTGGCAGCTTCAGCCTGGCTAACTTGCTCTGAAAGGACAAGCTGACGTTTCTGAGCCTTCTGGAATGCTGACTCCCTCTTAGGTGGTGCAATAAAATTATTCCAGGGGAATAGAGATGGAACAGCTCCACTTTTAAGGCGGCTGACGGTCGATCCAGTGAGATAATCCTCCGGTGTGAAGTGCCGGCTGCATACAAAAGTGCTCCCTGTCTTTATGGTGAACAGGGGACCCTCGTCTCTCCTAACTGCTTGGATCCACTGCCTTCTACGGTCCGGGTCCGTCGGAAAAGCATGAAAAGAAATAGGGTTGTTTTCTTGCTCCAAAAGAGCAACCTGGAACAGAGCAAAAACTAACGCGGAGTGATTGAGCCATACTGACGCTGTCTCTGAACGGTAAAGCATAGGCACCGGAGGTTGGTTTACTCCACATCCGATTTAAAACACGGAAGTGTGAAAAAGGTCTATAAACAGTGAAAGCTCACAGCAGGAGAGCAAGCTCACACAGCGCCATCTGTCGGCTGTCTTCAGAACTGCACCATTAAATACATCTGCACAACTGAAGCTTCGTTTGTGGAGGTGACGTGATCCGCAGCTTTGGAAACACTTTGATCTTTGTGCTTCATAAAGTCAGCAGCTGATTGGAGCAGAGGGAAGAGAGGATCCTGAGCCACTGATTGGCATCAGGTGCAGCAGCAGCAGTGAAGAGGAAGTGACCTGCGCAACTTTGAATGTATTAGAATCCTGTGTGTGATGATTCCAACATGTTCATATATCAGCCTTAAAACCAGCCGCACTAGAACCACCCTTTAATGTTGCTCAAACTGTGTGTGTGCTTTTCTACACGTACACACGGATCACACACAGCAGAAACTCAGAGCATGTGACTGATGACCTTAAAGACACATGGATCACACACAATAATAAAACATGGGACTTATATAGAGCTTTGTGGACACTCAGACGCCGTACAAAGGCACAGACACACACTTAGGTGTGGTCAGACTCATTATTGTTTCAGCTGCTTTTGCAATAGTTTTTATCTGCACTTTAGTTCCAGGCTTTTTCATTTGTCAGAGCAATTCCTTTCAAGTCACAGCCAAACAATAATTACAATGATACAGTGCCTTGCGAAAGTATTCGAAAGTATTGAACCTTTCGCCACATTTCAGGCTTCAAACATAAAGATATACAATTTTATTTTTTTGTCATGAATCAACAAGTGGAACGAAATGTATTGGATAATTTAAACTTTTTTAACAAAGAAAAAACTGAAAAGTGGGGCGTGCAATATTATTCGGCCCCATTACTTTCAGTGCAGCAAACTCAGTCCAGAAGTTCAGTGAGGATCTTTGAATGATCCAATGTTGTCCTAAATGACTGATGATGATAAATAGAATGCACCTGTGTGTAATCAAGTCTTCGTATAAATGCACCTGCTCTTTGATAGTCTCAGGGTTCTGTTTAAAGCGCAGAGAGAACCATGAAGACAAAGGAACACACCAGGCAGGTCCGAGATACTGTTGTGGAGAAGTTTAAAGCCGGATTTGGATACGAAAAGATTTCCCAAGCTTTAAACATCTCAAGGAGCACTGTGCAAGCAATTATATTGAAATGGAAGGAGTATCAGACCACTGCAAATCTACCAAGACCCGGCCGTCCCTCCAAACTATCATCTCAAACAAGGAGAAGACTGATCAGAGATGCAGCCAAGAGGCCCATGATCACTCTGGATGAACTGCAGATAACTACAGCTGAGGTGGGAGAGTCTGTCCATAGGACAACAATCAGTCGTGCACTGCACAAATCTGGCCTTTATTGAAGAGTGGCAAGAAGAAAGCCATTTCTCAAAGATATCCATTAAAAGTCTTGTTTAAAGTTTGCCACAAGCCACCTGGGAGACACACCAAACATGTGGAAGAAGGTGCTCTGGTCAGATGAAACCAAAATGGAACTTTTTGGCCACAATGCAAAACGATATGTTTGGCGTAAAAGCAACACAGCTCATCACCCTGAACACACCATCCCCACTGTCAAACATGGTGGTGGCAGCATCATGCTTTGGGCCTGCTTTTCTTCAGCAGGGACAGGGAAGATGGCTAAAATTGATGGGAAGATGGATGGAGCCAAATACAGGACCATTCTGGAAGAAAATCTGTTGGAGTCTGCAAAAGACCTGAGACTGGGACGGAGATTTATCTTCCAACAGGACAATGATCCAAAACATAAAGCCAAATCTACAATGGAATGGTTCACAAATAGACGTACCCAGGTGTTAGAATGGCCAAGTCAAAGTCCAGACCTTAATCCAATCGAGAATTTGTGGAAAGAGCTGAAGACTGCTCGAGCTGTTTTGCAAGGAAGAATGGGCAAGAATTCCAGTCTCTCGATGTGCAAAACTGATAGACATACCCAAGCGACTTGCAGCTGTATTTGCAGCAAAAGGTGGCGCTACAAAGTATAGGCGCAAGGGGGCCAAATAATATTGCACGCCCCACTTCAGTGTTTTATTTGTTAAAAGAGTTTAAATTGTCCAATAAATTTCGTTCCACTTCACAATTGTGTCCCACTTGTTGATTCTTGACAAAAAAATTTTTTTTATATCTTTATGTTTGAAGCCTGAAATGTGGCGAAATGTTGAAAGGTTCAAGGGGGCCGAATATTTTCGCAAGGCACTGTAATTAACGCAGAGCCATTGGTCCATAAGGGGCAGATGACCAATGTCCATTACATAATATAAGTAATTATTAAAAAAATGTCCCCACTCTGTCTTGATGTCAAAAACATGATGTATCTGAGTCTCCAGACACAAAGTAAAGATGTTCAAATCCACAATAAGTGTTTGGTCTGTAAAGCTCAGCAGCTGCAGCACAGGGTTAAGACTGAAGTGAGATCCTGTAGAGTCTGACTCTGGGTTCACATGATCCAGCCTCAGCTCTGTCTCCTTCACTTTGTTCCAGATGCTGCGTCTTCACACCTGCTTCTCACACGTTTTAATGTGTGTATAAAGATTTGAGCTTTGTGTAAAAGACTTCCCACACTTTTCACAGACAAATGGTTTCTCTCCAGTGTGGATCCTCTGATGAACTTTCAGAGAACCACGTTCTCTAAAACTCCGATCACAAACGTCACAGCTGAAGGGTTTCTCTCCAGTGTGGACTCTGCTGTGGACCTTGAGGTATGTTTTTGTAGTAAAACCTGTTTCACACTGATCACACTTGTACGGCTTCTCCCCAGTGTGGCTCCGATGGTGCAGTGTGCGCTCTGTTGCAGTTCTAAAAGTTTTACTGCAGAAGTCACATGCAAATGGTTTTTCTCCAGTGTGGATTCTCTCATGTCTTTTGTAGCTTGAAAACTGAGTAAACTCCTTCCCACAGTCTCCACAGACGAATGGCTTTTCTCCCGTGTGGATTCTGTAGTGCTTAGTGAGGTTAGATAATTGTGTAAAAGTCTTTTCACACTGGTCACATTGGTGAGGTCTCTCTCCTGTGTGGACACGCTGATGACGTGAGAGCAGCTGTTTGGTCCTAAATGTTTTTCCACACTGGTCACATTCAAATGGTTTCTCTCCTGTGTGGATACTGAGATGATATTTGAAAGCACCCTCTTGTCTATAACTCCGATCACAAACGTCACAGCTGAAGGGCTTTTCTCCAGTGTGGATTCTGCTGTGGTCCTTGAGGTGTGCTTTTTTAGTAAAACCTGTTCCACACAGATCACACTCGTATGGTTTCTCTCCAGTGTGAGTTCTGTAGTGTCTCTTTAGTGCAGAAGCAGATCTGTAGGTCTTTCCACACTGATAACAGGTGACCCCCATTCTGTAGATGGACTTTGTAGATCTGCCAAACACAAACAAACAACGACGACATGCCATTAATATAGGGACATTCTTTCATTGAAACTCAGTAAGAGAAAAGTTGATCTCCCTTTTATCAATGACCGGTACGTCCCCAATGCTTTTTACAGATTTTGTAAGTCACTTTATACAACACAAGAAGTGGAAAGATGTCGATATAATTTTTTTGACCCCCTAGATATACCACAACTCTCTGAAACGCAAAGAGATTTAATGGAAATAGACGTAACAATTGAAGAGATTCAGAAAGCAAAATGCGGACTGAGGGCAGGCCGTTCACCAGGGGAAGATGGGTATACACCAGATTTTTATAAAAAGTTTTGCGATGTCCTCTCTCCAAGATTGACTGTATTTTGTAATGCACTCGAGCAGGGCACACTTCCACCTTCAATGAGTAATAATTTAATTACCCTGATACATAAGAAGGGAAAAGACCCACAGCAATGCGGCAACTATATACTTATTTCACTCAGCAATGAAGATGGCAAGATACTAAGCAAAATTCTATCCAACAGACTTGAGAATATACTTCCCACAATTATACTCGGATCAAGTGGGGTTTGACAAGGGAC